ACAGAAATCTCTCAAACTGATATAATAATATAAACGCTGGTATATTAATCTGATGCGCGAGATACATTAATCATTAAGTAAGATACATTACATTTTATACATGATACATTAATATGATATACACTTTATACCTGATACACTAATCTGATGCGCGGGATACATTAATTTAATGCACTGATACATTAATTTGATGCGCTGATACATTAATCTGATGCGTGAAAATGAGAGATTTTGGAGATTTGTAAAACTAATAAGGGATATTCCAACAAAATTTCATTTTTGAACAAAAAATATTTTTTGAGTTATTTCATCTATTACATGATCGAAACAAGGGAAGATACATGTCACACTATGATTTTGCATCAAAAAACTATGGTTAAAACAAAAAAAGAAGTAAAGAAAAATACTAAATCTCAATTTTAAATTTTAAGCATGATATTCTTGCATTTTCTTGAATTATTTTATGGTCAAATTTCTTTATAGTGATAGTTCTAAATTCTTTCTTTTTAAGGCTATTTATAAATCTTACATGAACATTTAAAGAAAAAAAAAAAGGAAATTTTGTACTTTTGGTCACTCAAATATTGTTTTTTTAAAAAAAAATTGTGTATAGCTAAGCACTTTTAGCCTTCAATCAATTAAAAAGGGAACTTTTGTATCTTATTACTTGGGAACCTTCACAAATTTGACAAATTATGTATAATAACATCACTTGAATTGGAGCGGGCAATAATTTTTTTTCTTTATAAATTATTTTTAATCATTTTTTAAATCTAATCTCTAACCTAAAAATGAAAAAGATAAATATTTATATGACAATATTATTCAACCTATTTTTTAAACTTTTTTTAAATCATTTTTTAAATCTGAACTCTAACCTAAAAATGAATAATATATATATTTATATTGAAATAATTTATACTTATCAAGTTTTATATATGTACAGGGATCGAGCGTACATATTTCAACAAATTAAAAATTTATTTTAATTTAATTATATATCATAAAAATTTAAATCAAAATTCACCTTTTATATGTGTGTGTATATATATATATATATATATCAAAAATCATAAATATTTATTAAGGAAATCTAGGACATCTGAATAAATAAATTCCTTTCTTCATTTTGGGAATTTAACTTTGCTTTTCCTTTTGTCCTTTGTTTTGGTGTATGTACGTACAAGTAATAAATAAAGGATTTTATGATAATTATTCAATGATAATAATATAATTTTCGTTATATTTTACTTAACGATAAATAATATAATATAAATTATTATAATCAACGAATATAAATGCTTCTAATGCTTTAACGTTTTTGGATACAATAATATTAATACAATTAATACTAAATATTTTTATAATAATAAAATTTATTAGCGCTAAAAAAAATTTATTATCACTAAATGTCTTTTTCGTTGCCGTTTACTTAGGAATCTCAAGTAACTACATCCCCATAATTAATAATTGCTATTATAGGTAAAGAATTTTTTTTCTCTTTTCCTTATTTTCTTCTTTGTTTAAGGGAATTGATACATTTTCTTTGAAATTAATATAAAAAAAACGAGTTAATTGATTTAATACGACAAAAATGAACCATTACTATAATTAGTATCACAACTTTATTTATTCAAAAGAAATATCTCTATTGCCTAACTTAAAGAATTAAAAGTATGATTTTGGTGTCATTAATTAACCAAAATTCTTTTATTTTCTCAATTTACCTTTGAAATTCTCTATCGACTTTGGTTTTTACAGTATAGATTGATTTATAGATGATCACTCAAAATAATTTTTTATTGAATAACATTGAACTAAGAAAGATATAAATATTCGAAATAATATTTATTAATTGAGTGATTATTCTGAAAATTCCTCACATGTGTTGTAAGGCATGATTCCTAAAAATAAACTAAAATTTCAAGGCCTAATCATGAAAAATATTATCATTTAGATTAATAAATTTCCTTTTTTTGAAAAAGTGTGTTACATTGAAAGGCTTGCATGGTTTCCCAACTTAAATTGCTTTTGTATAATGTTTATCTATATTTGGATATGATTAATTTAGAGATTTCATTTCAATCACTCTAGGGCTAGCATTAGGTAGTTTTTGATAATAGTAACTTAAGAATTTCATAAAAATGAATGTTGGTCTTTTGATTAATATAAAAAAAAAAAGAAGGGAAAACATCCACTACAATAATATAATTGTCCTTATATTTCGCGGTAATAATATAACATGATTATTTATAGTCAACATTCTATATAAATATAGATAAACTTTTTAGTGATTCTGGATATAATGACAATAAATCAATTTGTTGTTAAATTTATTTGTGGTAATAAATATTACCGATCAAAGAAAAATTTATAGTAATTCCCGCGCTGTTACGATATCTCTTCAGAGATTACCAGGTTTCAAAGTATTTGATAGGAAAAGTTTGTCGTTAATTATTATGGGCAGATGCTACCCTTACATCTATGAATTAGATATAATCTAATAATTTCAGTGCACATTTTGTATTTATGTTAACCACTTAATATATATAATTAAGGGAAAATTGTATATATAATAGCAAACTAATAACCTAAAATAAATGAAATAGATAGGGTTTGATTCAATTGTGCTCCATAGCAAACGTTAGCTAAAATTTGCCAGCGTCTCTCTCCCAGAAATCTCGCTCGCCACTCTCCATTCTCGCTCGTCTCTCTCGCTTTATACACAGGAGTGTATAATTCTGTTTCTGTTTTGTATAAAGCGAGAGAAAATTGTATATAAACATGCAAAAATATATATCTTTGTGTTATACACTTAATTATACAATTTACAAACATTTTACTTCAAATATTGCAGAGAAAAAGGTCAACGAATTATACAATTGCAATGAAATACAATTTTCTCTAGCTTTATACAACAGAAGTGTATATATTGTGTTTCTGCTTTTTTATAAAGCGAGAGAAAAACATATATCTTCTTGTTATACACTTAATATTGCAGCGAAATAGGTAGTGAATTATACAATTGTGCATTATACAATTGCAGTAAAATAGGATAGCGAATTATACAATTGCAGCGAAATAGGCCAGCGAATTATACAATTTAGGCTATACACTTGTATATGTATAGCGAATTATACAATTTTATGTTTGCTATGGAGCGCAATTATGCAAAGTTTGCTATAACATACAAATATGAATTTTTTGTTTGTTATATGTGAAAGTTGCCCTATAATTAACTTATCAAAACCTCAATAAATTTCTTTTTATCTAGAATCTGTAAGTCTTAAATTTAAAATTTTAACTCCGACTCTAATTATGATTTATGGGCATCACTAAAACAACCATAATCCAATTTTTATAGAGAAGCAAAATTTAAAACTATAGTAAAGCGCAGTATAAAGAAGTTCATCCAATTAACCGCAATCATTATAATTAATTAATTATCATCGATGTATACATATGTGTATACTAAATGTATAACATATATACACATCAATTTATCAATTATTTACAAATTCAACGATAATTATATCAGTTAAATTCGTAAAAGAAAAATTAAATTACTTTTATTGTAAAACTTTATGGGAAAAACTATAGAATATAACAAACATCAATATATATTTAAGGTAAATGACTATAGTTCATTCTTTTATAGCTCATAATCTATTTTTTTTAAAAAAAAAATTATATATAGATATAAATATTTATTAAATAGCAAAGATAATTTTACATGCCTAATTAATACCAATCAAACATGTTTTACGGTGCTTTACTCTCCATGTTTACCCTCTTTACGTGAGCAAAAAGAGTTTGAGGATTGTTTGATTTTCATTTTTTTATATATAGTGAAATACTTATATATTTGAATACTTTGTATTTTATATATATATATATATATATATATATATATATATATATACACACACAATTAATAACTCAAGTATTTATAAAAAATGTGAATATAAGAAAAAAAAATTGAGTTTGTTGGCATTTCGATTTTTTATATGGTCATATACTTAAAAACTTGGATACTCACATTATATTATTTTTCATTTTTTAAATTTTGGATTGTCTACTGTATAAAATTTTGTTTAATTACTATTCATAAGGTAAAATTAGTTGTTAATTTAATATAAGTTATTAATTATTCGTTGGAATTGTAGATGATAGAGACGCAATCATTAGTTTTAAATTTAATTATGGGAAGTTGAGAGTTCTAGAAACGTAATTAGGGGCATTCAGTGACTATAACAAGAAAGTATTTTATTTAGTGTATTATAATTATAATTGTATCATTGTATAAATTAAATTTTTTTTTGAAAAAAGTACAAATATACAGCAAATTTTTTTTTTGAAAAAAGTACAAATATACAGCAAAATTAAAACATAAAATGAAGTCATTTTTTATAAATAACAAATTTATAGCTACTAAACTTCAATGATCCTATAACTATAATCATTTATAGTACAAAGTCTTTTGGACTTCTAAATTTGGCCCAACTCTCCCCGCCCCGCCCCGCCCCGCCCCAACCCAATTATTACATCAGCGCGATCACACCAAAGTCCAATCGCGGTTCAAATATTTGGAAGATTTGCATGATCGGACAAAAGAATTTCTAGGTCTCATTTCGTTAACACATTTTTGCAATTATGTAGCGATCATAATGCACCAATTACTCAAATATCGTATAAATAATTATTTTCCATTATAAAAATGTAGAATATTTATTCAAATTGATAAATAAAAAAGTAATGTGATATAATAAATAGTAAAGAGAGTCCCACATATAGCAAAAACTAAATTGGTCAAAGTTCTCAAATATTAATTGCAATTATTAATTCAGTAATTTCTTTAGAAAATTTAATCTCTCCTTAATATTCCTTTATTTAATACTTAGGATTACTCAACATTTAATATTATTTACCTCAGCCAACAAAATAATTGACTAAATATTTTAGAACTTGTTATATATAGATCCGATCAATATCAATTTTCATTTCATACTTTATAAAATGAAGGCAAATTATTTCTCCATTGTTGTTATCTTCTCATTGTTCTTCATCTATGGTAATCTTAACTTCTTTTTTTTTTTTTGCAAATTCTCTAGCTTAATTAATAGTTTTAGATTTTTCAAGTTAACGAACATATTTATTTATTTATTTTCAGTCCTGTAATGAATAAATATTACATTTTTTTGTATGTACACTTAGAGTACAATTTTCTTAAATTTTATTTCATTTTTACTAGATTTTCAATTTTTTTTTCTTCATTTCATTTTCGAATTATTCGTTTAGTTTATATATGATTATTGATGAAAATTGATATATTGTGCAGGGTGTTATGCAACCAAATTATTTATAAGGAATAATTGTCCTCACAAAATTTGGCCAGCTACACAAAGTGGGGCAGGTCAAGGAGCGGCGATCCCAACAGGATTTCGATTAGCTTCGAGAGGAACAAAAAAATTCGATCTACCTAATTCATGGTCAGGAAGAATATGGGCAAGACATCTCTGCTCCTTTTCTGATCAAAATTTCACTTGTCTTAGCGGAGATTGCAAGAGCGGCTCAATAGAATGTAATGGCGCGGGTGCTACACCACCAGCAACCCTAGTACAATTCACAATAGCAAATTCGTCTAATGAAAAAGACTATTACTCTGTTAGCATTGTCGATGGCTTCAATTTACCTGTCTCTGTTACACCTATAAATAGACCTGATTGCGGGATAGCAGATTGTCTTGTGAATCTTAAAGACGTGCATTGTGGAGATCAAGTTGATTTAGAGGTACGAGATCAAAATGAGACAGTAATCGGGTGCAAAAGCGGATGCTTAGCGTTTAATCGTGATGAGTTGTGTTGTACTGGTGAGTATAGTTCTCCACAGACTTGCAAGCCATCTATCTACTCTTTAACACTAAAAAAATTGTGTGATAAAGCTATTACTTATCCTTATGATGATGAAACTTTATTTACATGTAGTGGAGGAGCCAACTACAAAATTACCTTTTGTCCATGGGGACAAGAGTTGCCTGTTTTAAAAAAATAGGTGGCCTAAAGTCAAAATTTATTAATATAATGTTTATTCAATATTTATTTTATTGTTTCTTAAAATGTGTGGTTGTGCAGAATGGAAGATGAGAACCTAGATAAGGCTTAAGTACACATCTTTTTAAGCGAATCAATTTGTCACGATCCAAAAGTCGAGGTTTTGATGACATACACCCCGAGAACCTCAAAATGGTGTGAAAGCAGAAAGAAATAACACATAAGAGACTTTCAAAGGGAAATCAGGCCACGATCGATAAGAAACAATAAAGAAGTTCTCAAAATAAAAGGCATTTAATTCATTTCTAGATTCTGAAATATATCTCAATTTTTCGAAAGGAAATTAAAAATTATAAATGATAGATGGAGACCAATGACAATCTCAAAAACAGAATCTCACCCCTACTTCTATTATCTATCTAGGGTAAAGTGAAACAAGCATAACATCTTGTTTTAGTAAACCTTGACTGGAGTTGGATCAATATGAAGTTTGTATTGTTGAACAAAAAATCAAAAGAGAAATTTGTTGGGATATCTTTGATTTTGAATTTACATTCAAGATCATATGATATTTTGATGATTAAACATCGTACGAGCTACAATCTATGTATAATGATAATAAAGAATAAATAGTGATATTCAAGAACTAAGTAATTATATATAGCGATTCCAAATAGTGGTTGGTCTAAGATTGTTATCAATCAACGTCAAAATATAAGAAGTAAACCTATCAAAGGGAGTCTAAAATGTTTAATATAAAAAGGTTTCATAATATAACTTTCCGGTTGAATATACTTGTAGAAGAATTTGAGATTTAAGATTGAAGTTGAAATTATGTGCAAATCTTTTAAATAAACATCAATTTGAAATAAAAAACTTAAAATTGAGGTCTCAAATTATATGGTGAAGCATCAACTTGTTTAGTAATTTATATTTATAAACTAATCGCTATAAATATTTATAAACTTTAAATCTTGAATTCAACTACTGAGATGATGGTCAGATAAGTAGACTTGCAGATGACTTGTTGAAAGGATGCAAAGGACAAGGAAAAAGCTATTGTATCTAGCACATAAAAGAGATAAGAATGATGACCAATATATGATAAATGACAAAAGTATTGAGAATATTCCAAGCTTTGATGCAGATTATTGGTTTCAATTCTGAATTATTGAGAATTTTTAAAATATTTTTTATTTAACTAAATAAACTTTAATACATCTCAATATTTTGATAGAAATAGAAGTGGTAAAAAAAAAAATAAGAGAGATAAATATCATCAACCTGTCACATACATATAAACTTTATCTTAAAACTACTAATTGCACAAATTTTTAAAACTTAAAGTATTTTAGTTGTATATTTAGGTAAACGTTTAGTTAACCATTTATTTCAGGCATAATTTTGCATTCATAAGCCAATTATAAGGAATTATGAGCTTTCTTAGTTTTTTTTGTGTGTATTAGTTCATGAATTTGACACTTCGAGTAGTCCAAAAAAAATTTCTGAAAAATCTTGTGAGGATCTTCGTTCTGAGTTAGGGAAACGTTACGTACAATCTAAATATCTTTTTTCAAGCATATTTTCGCCTTTACAAGTTAACTTTTAGAAATTATCAGACTTTTTTATTTTTTTGTGTGAATTAGCTCATGGATCTGGTGCCTCGTAGCACTCACAATTTTTTTCTCAAAAGACTTTCTGAGGACCTTCGTAATGAGTTGTGAAAGTGTTACGTACAATTTCACCATTTTTTCAGGCATATTTTTATGTTTACAAGTCAAATTTGAGGAATTATGCGCTATTTTCTTGATTTTTCGTGTGTATTAATTCATGGATTTGGCTCCTAGAAGCACCCAATTTTTTTCGGAAAAAACTTTATGAGGACCACCGTAATGAGTGAGAGTCCCACCATTTTTCAGACATATTTTCGCATTTACAAGTAACTTTGAGGAATTATAACGTGACTTTCTTGATTTCGTGTGTATTAGCCCATGAATCTGGTGTCTCGGAGGTTCCAGATTTTCTCTGAAAAATCTTTATGAATACCTCAGTAGTGAGTTGGGGAAGCGTTATGTACAATCCCACCATTTTAAATATATTTTCACATTTACAAGTCAACTTATAGAATTTAAGTGAATTTCTTGATTTTTCGCGTGTATTAGCCCATGGATCTGGTGCCTCGAGGCATCATAAAAAATTTCTGATAAACTTTATGAGGACCTACATTATGAGTTGGGAAATTGCTACATACAGTCCCACCATTTTTTAAGGCATATTTTTGCATTTACAAGCAACCATTTAACAATTACACGACTTTCTTGTTTTTTCATATATATTAGCCCATGAATTTGGCGTCTCGGAGCATCCAATTTTTTCTTTCTGAAAAACCCTTATAAGGACCTTTGTGATGAGTTAAGAAAGTATTACGTATGGTCCCATCGTTTTCTCAGGCATATTCAGGCATTTAGAAGCCAACTTTTAGAAATTACATGATTTTCTTGGTTTTTTTTGTGTGTATTAGCTCATGGATCTGGTGCCTCGTAGCACCAAAAAAAATATTCTGAAAAGCATTATGAGGGAATCCATAATGAGTTTGGGAAGCGTTACGTACAATACCATTGTTTTCCTAGCACATATTTACATATTAAAGCAATTTTTTGGAAGTACACTACTTTCTTAATTTTTCATGTGTATTAGCCCACGGATCTAGCGCTCTCGAGCATCCAATTTTTTTAAAAAAAATTATTAGGACCTTTGTAATTAGATGGGAAGGCATTACGTATGGTCCCACCTTTTTTTCAGGCATATTTTTACATTTACAAGTCAACTTTTAGAATTCATGGGACTTTCTTGGTTCTTCGTGTGTATTAACTCATTAATCAGGCACCTCGGAACACCCAACTTTTTTTTCTGAAAAAACATTATAAGGACCTCTATTATGAGTTGGGAAAGCGTTTAGTACAATCCCACCGTTTTTCAAACATATTTTTGCATTTACAAGCAAACTTTTAAGAATCACTCTAATTTTCTTGTTTTTCATGTGTATTCGCCCATGGATCAAACGCCTCGGAGCACCCAAAGTTTTTTTCTTAAAAAACTCTATAAGGACCTTCGAAATAAGTTGGAAAACGTTACATACAAACTCACATTTTTTCAAGCATATGTTTGCATTTGCAAGCCAATTTTTTAAAAATTGCGCGATCTTTTTGATTTTTCACGTATTTTTAGCACATTGATCTGGAGCCTCAAAGCACCTAAATTGCTTTTTTTTTGAAAATTTATGAGAACCTCCGTAATGAGTTGAAGAAGTGGTACTTATAGTTCCATATTTTTTTGGCTCATATTGGCATTAACAAGCAAACTTTTGGTATTTACACGACTTTCTTGTATATTAACCCATGGATCTGGCGTCTTGAAACACTCAAACATTTTTTCTTAAAAAACATTATGAGGATTTTCGTAATGAGTTGGGGAAGCGTAACGTAAATTCCACTATTTTTCAGGCATATTTTCACATTTATAGGCCAACTTTTAGAAATTACTTGACTTTCTTGTTTTTTCGTGTGTATTAGCCCAAGGATCTGGCATCTCGAAGCATTCATTTTTTTTAAAAATAAATTTTTTTTAGAACCTTCGTAATGAGTTGGGGAAGCCTAACGTACAACCCCATCATTTTTTCATGCTTATTTTCGCATTAACAAGCTAAATTTTAGGAATTATGTGACTTTCTTGATTTTTCGTGTGTAGTAGCACATGAATTTGACGCCTTGAAGCACCAAAATTTTTTTATGAGAACCTTCGTAGTAAGTAGGGGAAGCCCCACCATTTTTGCAAGCACATTTACGTATTTACAAGCCAACTTTTAGAAATTTCATGATTTTCTTTTTTTTTTCTTCATATTATCCCATGGATCTGGCGCCTTGGAGCATCAAAAATAAATTTTGACATATAATCCCACCATCTTTTCATGTATATTTTCATATTTACAAGCCAATTTTTAGATATATGCAACTTTCTTGTTTATTCGTGTGTATTAGCCCTTGGATCTGACGCCTCCGAGCACCCAAACAAATTTTCTGAAAAATTTTTGTAAGGACATCTATAATGAGTTGGGAAGTGTTGCGCAATCACAAAAAAAAAATTGTTAAAGTGGACAAACAATTTTGTGTGTCAATTGCAATTTTGTGTTTGGTTTCTTATGAATATCACGTTTAATCGAGGTGTTCAAGTAAAATATATAAACTAGTTTATAAAGCTATTTATATATTACGCTTAATTTCTTGGTAGATTCTTTATTTTTATGTTAGTCTAGTCAATGAAGCCTCAGGATGATTTTGACAATGACAACATTATATATTTTTAATTATAATTGGGTCACATTCACCATAGACTTTATCATTGACTCATTCCTCTAGCAAAAATTAATTTTGCCACTTTCTACCCCACACGTTTATTTTTGTGAGTTTAAATGATAATTAATAATAAAGTCAACTTCAGACCTTCACATCAGTGTTAAATATTATTTATGAGTATATATTTATAACCAAGTTTTTGTTAATATCATTTAGCCACGAAAATGAATCAACAAAAAAGTAGTACTACTTGTTTGATTCCAATAACTCCCGAAATTATTCGATGGAGTTACGACGTTTTTCTAAGTTTCAGAGGTAAAGATGTACGTAAAACTTTTGTTGATCATCTCTACGTTGCACTTCAACAAAAAGGGATCAACACATTCAAAGATGACGATAAGTTAGAGAAAGGTGATTCTATTTCACCAGGACTTGCGAGAGCAATTGAAGAATCGCGCATAGCTTTGATTATTTTCTCAAAGAACTATGCTGAATCGTCGTGGTGTTTGGATGAAGTAGTGAAGATCATGGAATGTAAGAAGGTGAAAAAACAAATTGTTATTCCGATTTTCTACGATGTAGATCCATCAACGGTAAGAAAACAAAAATCGAGCTTTGAAGAAGCTTTTAACAAGTATGAAGATTGTATCAAGGTGCAAAAATGGAGAGGAGCACTAGAGGAAGCAGCTAATTTATCTGGTTGGGATTTGCCAAATACTTCCAATGCGTAAGTATTTATCAGATCAATTTGTACGCAATTCAATTATTTCTCTTTTGATAATTGCTATCTTTTGACGCGTGTAAATATCGAATAATTACTTAATCGAAGAGTGTGTTTGGTAATATATGAAAGGAAAATATTTTTTTATCAATTTATGCATAATTCAATTATTTCTTGAATACTTGCTAGTTGACACATATTTGAACATCAAATAATTTTCTTTGAATACTTTCTACTTTCTATGCAAATATGGACCGTTTAGTTATTTTCAGATCCATTCAAAGAATTTTTTTTAAGAAAAAATAAAAAACAATGGAACTAATGAGTTGAATCTGAATAATTACGATTCAGATCTAAAAATCAAACGTATTTAATAAGCTGAATTTGAGTGATTAAGATTCAGTTTATTAAGTGCAAACAAATGAGGTTTTAGCTCACGAGGAATTTCCCCCCTTTAAATTGGGATTTGGGGGTAGGAAAACGAGGGGTAATTGCGATATGAGGAATAAAGTTTAGGTATCTAATTAACTGAGCTACTAAAATGAGGGTATTTTTATTTTGTTTTTAATAGTTTAGGATGTTTTTCTATTTGAATTATTCTAACCCCTTAACTCTTAAGTCCTTGACCGTAATTAGCTAGGCTAAAAGTTACCAAATTGCAGGGAAAAAGTAGTCCAAATATATGTTCAAACTTTCACATATTCCTACCACAATAAAAACACTGTGGCCTAACAGTCAATGAAGCGGATGAGATTTCGGATTCAGAGATAAAAACATTGTTAACTGGCTCAGATACCACGGTTATACTAAAATTAGTGACTAAAGCATGCAAAATAAAATCATTGATATTCTTTTTGTGGCATGCAGGCATGAAGCTATAGTGATAAAGCAAATTGTGGAAGATATAATGGCTAGATTGTGTGGTCAGAGACACACGAAAAACGCTGAAAATCTTGTTGGAATCGAGTCACGTATGCACAAAGTGTATAAAATGCTTGGCATGGGGTCTGGTGGAGTTCGTTTCGTTGGAATATTTGGAATGAGTGGAGTTGGGAAGACAACTCTAGCTAGAGTCATTTATGAGAATATTCGGAGTCATTTTGAAGGTTCGTGTTTTCTTCATGAAGTTAGAGATCGTTCTGCAAAACAAGGCGTAGAGCATTTGCAAGCCATACTTCTTTCTGAGATACTTTTGATGAAAGATGTAAACATCAACAATTTATACGAAGGAGTCAATATGCAGATACAAAGATTACAGCACAAAAAGGTTCTTCTTGTTCTTGATGATGTTGATCACGTAGATCAGTTAGATGTTTTAGCGAGGAAACGTGAATGGTTTGGTCATGGAAGTAGAGTTATCATAACAACTCAAGATAAGCACTTGCTTGTTGAACATGAGGTAGAAAAGATATACAGAATGACAACGTTAAATGAATACGAAAGTTTGCAGCTCTTTAAGCTATATGCCTTTAAGAAAAACCGTCTTATGGATGAATTTAGGGATGTTTCAGCTCAAATTATAAGGCATTGTGATGGACTCCCGTTGGCTCTGAAAGTCCTCGGAAGTTTCTTGTATGGAAGAGATTTGGATGAATGGACGAGTGAAGTGGAACGATTGAAACAAATCCCAGAAGGTGAAATTGTGAAGAAACTCGAATTAAGTTTCAATGGACTAAACAGAATTGAACAAAAGATATTACTAGATATTGTGTGTTTCTTTATAGGAAAGAAGAAAGAATCAGTTACAAGAATATTAGAGAGTTTCAACTTTAGTCCTGTTATTGGCATAAAAGTTCTCATGGAGAAATCTCTGATTACTGTTTCACAAGGTCGAATTCTGGTGCATCAATTGATACAAGAAATGTGTTGGTATATTATCCGTCAAGAAGCTTCCGATGATCCAACAAGATATAGTAGGTTGTGGTTACCTGATCATATTTCTAATGTACTTACTGGAGATTTGGTAAGTATTTGCACAAAGCCACAAATGATCATTTCTAATTAGTTAGCTTTTGAACATTTTTATATAAATATCCATTTTTTTCGTACAGGGCAGTGAAAAGATTGAAGGCATATCACTGAACTTGGCTTTTGCACAAGAAGTGAATGTCAGCAGCGCGGCATTCAGACAAATGAGCAGACTAAGGTTTCTCAGTATCCAGAACAAAAATGTTCATCGGGGCCCTAATTTCCTTCCTGGTGAGTTGAGGTGGTTCAATTGGCACGCGTATCCATCAAGAAGTCTGCCTGTTAGTTTTCAGGGCGAAAAGCTTGTTGGTTTGAAGTTGAAAGATAGTCGAATCATACAACTTTGGCAAGGCTCCAAGGTTATGTATTGTTCCTTTTTCTAACATTTCACATAACGATGGAGTATATTCGTCAGCATTAAAACTAACTTATTGCATTATGAGTTATGACAGATTCTAGGAAAATTGAAATACATCAACCTTAGTGAGTCACGGAAGCTAGTAAGGACCCCGGATTTTTCAGGTATCCCTAATCTTGAAAGGCTGGTTCTTGAACGATGTGTAAATTTGGTAGAAATCAATTTTTCTGTTAGAGATCTCAGAAGGCTAGTCTTGTTGAATCTGAAGAACTGTAGCAATTTAAAGACCCTACCGAAGATCATTCAATTGGAAAGTCTTAAGGTTTTGATTCTATCAGGCTGCTTAAAACTCAAAAAGTTGTCGGAAATAAAAGAAGAAATGAATCGTTTGTCACAAGTGTACTTGGAAGGAACTGGTTTGAGAGAACTACCCGAATCAATTGACAACTTTTCAGGAGTAAAATTGATAAATCTAAGTAACTGCAAGTATCTTGAGAATCTTCCAAGCAGTATTTTTAAATTGAAGTCTCTAAGAACACTGGATCTATCCGGATGTTCAAGACTCGAAAAATTATCAGATGATTTGGGACTTTTAGACGGTTTAGAGGAGCTCCATTGTGATGACACAGCCATCCGAACAATGCCTTCCACTATCTCTCAGCTAAAGAACCTTAAGCACTTATCTCTCCGGGGATGTAAAAATGCTTTGGGTTTACAAGTATGGAGTTCACTCTTTTTGTCGCGACTATTTAGGAAAGACCACAACTCTATCGGTCTGGTTTTTCCTAATTTATCAGGTCTTTGCTCATTGACAAAGCTGGACATAAGTGACTGCAATATTTCAGACGGAGGAATCCTATCTAATCTTGGGTTCTTGCCATCTTTGGAGGAAGTGAATCTCGGAAAGAATAACTTTGTTGGTATTCCATCTGCAAGCATCAATGGTCTAACTCGACTAAAAGTTGTTGAATTGGTTGGTTGTAAGAGGCTCGAGATTTTTCCAGAGCTTCCTTCAAGTATAGAAGAGGTGTATGCCGATGAATGTACATCACTGAGGAGTATTGGCATTGATCAATTAACCAAATATCCAATGTTGTCTCGAGTTTCACTTACTCAATGTCACCAATTTGTCAAAAATGAACCTGATGTTGCTATTATTGATTCACTGTGGAATCACATGCTCAAGGTAAGTAAATAGCTCTTTATATATGTACACGTTCGTTAACTCAAGAATCTATAACATATTTTGCATGATATAGGGACTATCGATGGTGGATGATGAATTCAGTATATGTATCCCTGGATCTGAAGTTCCTGACTGGTTTATGTACAAGAACTTGGGTCCTTCATTATCAGTGAAGCTACCTAAAAATTGGTACACAAACAAATTCATGGGCTTTGCTCTTTGTGTTGTTTTTGACAGTTTCAAGGAACCTTCCTGTATGAATAATGCTTACCTTCAAAAAATCCCGGGATTTCTGGTCATGTTTAAGCTCGTAAGGCACGATGGAAAGACTGGGGTGTTTTTTAAAAGTATTGGCTCAGTAGGAAGTGAGGAATGTCCTGATTCAGGGCACACTCTACTGGCCTATGCATCATTTGATAATTTTTGGTCAATGTATGAGAAACATGTTTGCAATCCTAACGACTGGATTCAAATCGAGGTTTGTGAGACTGATGCAAATGTTGCAATCAAAGGTTGGGGGATGCATCTTCTGTACGAGAACGATATTATAAATGATGAGTTGATGATACAAAATGCCACCTCTCAAAATGGAAAGATGGGCTTGTTTCATGTAATATTTGATGGATCAAAGTATGTGAAAAGGAAACGACACGGACATAAATCATTTTCTAGGCTGCCACCAGATGATGAACCAGCTGGATATGTCAATTCATTTGGAGAAACAAGTAATGAAGATTTTGATGAAACATTATTTGGGAGAGGAATTACTGGGATTGTAGAAGCTCAACAAACAGTTACTATAAGTATGCCTGAATCAACCTTTAATTGGATGATGAGACCATCAGTACTTTTGAGTATGTAATTGTTTGAGTTATGTGACATTCTCTTTTTTAGTTAATCAGGGAAAAGAACGTCTTTCTATATTACTCTGAGGATCTATAGCTGCACAAATATTTATGATTTAGTTTAAATAAAAAAGGGAAATATTAAAAGACCTACCTAAGTTACAGAGATTGATAATTTTTTGCTCATTTATATGTCTTCCCTGGAGACCAAGAAAAAAGTTGTACCTAGCCAAAAAAAGAAAAAGAAGAAGAGAATAATATAACAAATGAACTCAAAAAAGAAGTCTACAATAGGAAGCTATTTTCTGTAAAATGTAGTAGAATTTTTATACTAAAGGTCTTTTCGTTGTCATATCAGCAAAATTTGTACTAACATCCTTTTCGAACTTCACTCTGGCTAAGTTTCCATGAAATTCTACAGGATTATACTGCACCCTTTTCGAACTTCAATCCCTCTGGGGAATTGAAGCTCATACACACTCTTTGATGTCCTTCACTATCAAAATATGATTATTGCTTTCACGTACAACTACTAGTAAGTTACCAAAAAATAATACTACTATAGTAAGTAAGTACCCATGTTTTTCACCACCAGAGCATAAGGAACCATCAAACAACTTGAGAATTTTGGCGTGTTGCATACTGAAAAATAGGTTCTTTTACCTGTAGATAGAAAAGAAAACGGGAACAGAAAGATAATTATAAATATTTCCCAAATACTTCACTTCAGCTAGCCAGGATTCTTAACTAAGATTTTCTGGATAGACTGATGGATGTCATACCATGCTTGCTTTCCTACGACGTTTGTCCTGACTGGACCTGCTACAGACAATTTCGTACTCATCAGGTTGGTTTGGTTTTCCATTAATTCTTCCATTCTCCTTGCCAGGAATAAAACTCTCCCGAGAAGCTACAGGCTGCACAAACATAATATATAGTTATTTGTAACTTACTGTAGTCTGTTAGGTGATCAACTAATTAATTACTGAAGATTATTGAGGTAATCCACAAATAAACCAACCTCAGCTTTGCTTGATGGTGTGTTTTCATGCTCCTTTCTCTTGGAGACAGTCTGATCACTCATGACAGATCCATTCCGGTATGCATCAGCTTTTCCTCTAGTACGTGTGAGATCTGATCCAATAGAGTGGAGAGCACCACAAGTGGATAGATCTCTAAAGTTGTTGGCTAGTAGACATTAAGAAATATCAGATTTTGTGGTCTAATTTTATGATTAAGTATCAAAGTAACTTGACCAAGCGTTATCAAAATTCAGATGGTTAGAACTTAGAACCATACCTGATTCATGCATGTTGACATCCTGACCATTTATCGTAATTAAAGATAAGAATTAGAATAGTAGAAGTGAGAAACTGTTTAACATATATTTCATTCAAGACTATTACCATATTGTCTTTTGCTAAGACCTTCTTAACTTCAGCCAGCTTTTCTTCAGTTAGGTCAGACTGGATAACACGCTTCCCTGCAACGACAAAATCAGTCCATCATTGGCTAATTGGTACTATTAGTCTTTCTGCTCCACACAAAGCAGGAAATATGGTTTGCCAGAGGCCAGAGAGTACCTAGTCTGCGGTAGCTCTTAGCCTCAACGAATCCATCTTGTGTCATTTTATCAATGAGCTTCTTCACCACAGTTTGGTTGGCTTCTCCTTCTAGTTTACGTTGGAGCTTGGCAACACTTACATAGTTCATTGGAAGAGCATGAAACAAAGCCTGAAACAAGAGACTGTTCAGTTATCTTAACAAAGACAGTCTCTTGAATATAAAGGAGGAAGGGAGAAGGGGCAGTAGAAACTAAGAGCTGCATAATCACTTTATATGTACTACTTAATGTGAAGGAGAAGTCACGAGGTAAAGCACTTGAGTGACTCACAATCCCTGGTAGAGAACGAGGAATTGTAGGTGGGCAAAATCTACAAGACATATGTAATCCACATACAGCTAATAGATATGAACCAAATTAACTGAAGAGGATGGATAGATGACACGTAGATACTTTTAAGTTCAATTCAGAGGATATTAATCAGGTTTCACCTTCATGTACATGTAATCTTCACCCTTGCCACGCTGAGATCCGTTGCCATTTTGATTTTGTTGGCCCTCTATTTCTTCTTTCACAACATCAAACTCATAGTCGAATTTCTGCATTTGAGGAATATGATTGTAGGTGATGGAAAAGGATATATTATGATTCAAGAGAGTAAACAAGTAGACAATAATGAATTAAGGAAAACAATAAGAAACCTTTTGCTTATTAATGATGTAAGTGTCTGTGCCAGCACTTAAAAGAATTCCTTCTTTAACAAGCTTTTCTGAGATATCTAAAATAAAAAAACAATAAAAAAGCAGATGAAGATACTTTGGACAGCTTAAAAACAGAAAGAATACATCATCTGATTATTTTATTTGGCACAAAAACTTTGAGAATTGGTACTAGGGTATGATATCACTGCTCTCCTCTAGAGAAGTTCAGGTTGAGAACACCATCATCTGGTTAAAGGGTCATTTCATTACCTTCAACCAAGGCCTGCAATCAGGATCCGATGTTAGGTGTAGTAATGGCTAGTAAATGATTGATAGGAAAACCAGCAGAAGTATCTTACCACTGAGATGTCTGGGAAATTTGAGAGAACGTCTGTCATTTCAACTCTGTCAAGGTGATATGTGTTGATCCAGTCCTTAACCCGGCTGAATTGTTGTTCATCTTCATTAGGATCTTGAGTATCATCTGAAAAACCAGTAAACCTATTAGAGTTCTTGATAACCTGGTTCAGCAAGAAAGTCGATAGTATCTGCTGCAAATAGAAGTACCTTCATCCTGAACATCTTGCTTATCTGTGAGAAAAAAGAACTTGTCTTTATAAATTGATGACATTAAAAAATACTGACAGAATGAAAACGCATGAACATCGTAGAGTAGAGCAATGTACAATACCAACTGGTGCAACTATATATTGATCTTCGTCAGAGTCACTGAGCTGAAATTGATGGATATTTAACAAAGTCAGTGCATGAACACACTTAAAAAGGATAGCGAACAAAGTCAAGCTTTGTAAAAATAATTGGGGCAAGGGGAACCAATATTTCACCTCACTATCAGATGCACTGTCATCTTTCTCGACAGAATCAGCTCCCAAGCTCATAACATCATCTTGATTGCCATCATTCTCATCCTCACAAGGATCAAGCACGCTCTTAACCTGTGGAAGAAAGATATCAGTGTGAACTTGTTGACTACTGAAAAGGAAACTAGTTATATTCATTTCCTGTCTCTGGCCCACACCTTCAGAGCCAACACGAAATGCTTGCTGTTGACATTTCCGACCTCCAATTTCAGAGGATTTTTCATCCATGGATTTAGAGCCTCCTCGTCAGTGCAGCCTCTAAAGAAAGGAGGTTCATAATCAGCAGGCTGCACAACCAGCAATTCTGTTACAAAAGATTAATTTGACTAAAATATGACAAGCTGGGTGATTTTTGAAGAAAAATGATATTAAAAAGGTGAAGTGGAAACAAGTAAAGCTTGGAAAATTCTATGAAATGCATTTGATATGACTAAGCAGTGTTTTCAGTGCATGAGTAGCCCAAGAACCATTTATCGGCACAACTACAGGAATCAATTTGGGGCTCAAACTCAAAAATTAACGTAAGCTACAAAATTACAGAAGTGAGATGACTTCTAAGGAGAAACCTTATTTTCTGAATGTCAAAAAGGGATGATTACAATTGCAGCTTCTTAAAGGCAATGTGCTTACAGATGCCAATATATAATTTGCATGCTACAATATATGGAAGTTTAACATTCCCCCGAAACTCAAACATTGAGAGGCAAGCTAAAAGAGGAAAAGGGAAATAAAAAGAAAAACAGAACAAGCAAAATTGAGAAAAGGGCATACCGTGATATCATCATGATAAAGAAGCTTCATCAGTATAGTTCGCTGAGAAAAAACCAAGAGAAACAAACCTTAGCAACCAGATGATAGGAGACAATTGTCAACATTAATGAACAACGAAGCGATGCTTTTTAGGAAAATTAGAAAGTTTTACCTCTTCTGGCATCTTATCAAGAGTTCTCATCAACTGAATCAGTGTACGAACCATTTTACAAGCAGAACTCCTGAAATATACTTCCCTCTCAACTCAAAAGGTTCATGTAATCCAAAAAACAACCAGCATGAGACTGATAAAGTAAAAAATCCTTAGACCAATAGTTACCTCATTTGATTGGGTGTTATTTCAGTGTTTGAGTTACACTTGAATGTTCCCCCTTTCTTCATCCCAATACGATTGACATTCATTGACACTTCTTCAGAGTCGGAACTTGAATAACTGAAAGAGACTGCAAGTAGAAAACTAAGTGTATAAGCTATTGTCACAAGCCAGACTACTGAAAGTATCAGCTCTTCTTTTAGCAATTTCTTTGTCTCAGGCAACACAGATATGGTCTAGATAGTAATCTAGTCAGTTTCAGATGTGATTAGCCAGTGTAATTATGATACTAAAATCAATTTGAAGTCATCACTGAACCAACTTATCTTAACTCTTCTTACATGCATATTCCTCAATCATTGGTCCATCAACTGCTTCGCACACACAGAACAGAAGTGTTTTCAGATATTTCTTCTGTAATGCATCATAAACACCTACGAACACAGAAGAAAGTAGCGTTAAGGAAAGTGGCGGTAAGAAATGACAAGGAAGAATATAACTGTAAGGCTTAGTTTGAAAACTAGCAAAAAATCAACATACCTTTTTCCATCCAATCAATAAGTCTACGTGACTCTGCATCCATTGGCATTAGCTTCTTGATCTTCATCTCTGCTTGTGATATAAGTATCCAGTAAATTAATTTGAAATACTGAAACAGAAGATATTACAAAAAACAAAAAAATAAATGAGAAAGGTTACCTAAGGCTGGAACAGATTTATCACTGAAATATTTCTCAGGAAAGAGGCCTCTGATGTAACTAATGTTGAATATAGCAATACGCAGAAGGTTCCTTGTCTGTTTTTGAAAACCATGGAGAAAAAAGTGAATCCAGATAATTAGCTTGTAACACTTAATAACTGCATAAACAAGTTTCTATTTCCTGACAAACAACTTCAGCGATAGTAAACTGGAAAGTTTACAAAGTGACAGACAAAATATCTAGCTGTTCATTTGATTGTAACTAAACATCATGAGTTATTTCAGTAACTGGGATACGATAGCATTCAAAGAAGATAACGTCAGAAGCACCCAATTCATGGAGACTATGCAAATCGAGAAAACAGAAGAACTTAAACAACTTATACTTATTAGCTTCTTAGATCAGGCTCATTGATCTAGAACATATCCTACGCATCTCGTTTTTTAAAATACATAAAAACAGATTCACTCAACTATATAGAGCAAAAATACAAATCAACTATCTAGAGAAACAAGCAACATGAGTCAATCGGAAGTCAACATCTACAACCAGAGATTATACATTTACATTTGCCTCATACATCAGTTGAACGAAATAAAACTCAACATAGAAGAGGTTACAAGAGCCAGAAAACTCTAAAGAATGAACTCAAAATACACACACAACACAACTTAAATCACAACTGAGTATAAAAGAATCATTGATTAGCCTCCAGATTCGACTCACATGCTGTCAATAACCATAAAAATCGAAGTATTTAAAACATCAGAAAGTGATAAGAGAAAAAACTACACAACTCTCAAACAGTTCAACATAACGTGTTTCATACAAGCACTTTGCGCTATCAACGTTCACAAACTAAGTGCTATCAACGTTCACAAACTCGTCAAAAACGTAAAAAAACTGATCGACGCTAAATTGAACAGAGCAAAAAACACAGCTCTAGTAACGTAATCAAAAAGCAAATATGAGATCGATCATTTACCAGAAGGAGTGAATCCTGCTCAGTAATCTCCGATTCCTTCAATTTCTGTGCCACAACCTAAAAAAAACAGAGAATGAACGCGAGAGTTAAGCAATAGGTGAAGTATAACAAGTTATTCAACGAATTCAAAGAGCGAGTTGAGATGGAAAAAGCTGTTGCTCACCATTGTTGACAGAGAGAAACGAGATTCAAGCGATTTGGAGAAATTTGAAGAGAACAATGCTTTTCAGAAAGCTTTTGCTCAGCAAATGAAGAAGATGGCGGGGAGTACAGTGAGAGTGAGTTTATATAGTCGGAGAAAAGTGACCACGGTTAAATGGGAATTAACTATGGTTAACTGAGGAATGCGGAATGCGTGATCCAGTGGCTTGTTGAGTAATTTTGGAGAAAGGCAGGGGTTTTTGGTCAGTAAGATGTGTTGCTAATGTTTTGACGTTTAAGCCTCCCTAATTTTACTTGAACCAATTTGTTTAAGTTGTAATTTTGTTTCATCAACTTTTTTTTAAACTATAGTTTTAACTTTATTTTAATTATTTGATAGTGAACTAAGTTCATGGATCACAGGAATTTGAAATTTTGAATCAACCTTCGCAATCATTCATTATAAACAGACGCGTATTTAGAATTTTAAAAAAATGAGTGCACTATACGAAAAGATGAATATAATATATAAATTTGATTGATTTTATCATTTGAACTTGTTATATATTAGAAATTTATATCACTATCTAGAGAGAGGTGCACCCAATCATGATCGTATTGTATAATATTTTGAATGTGGTCCATATATCTAGAATTAAGTATTTTAAAGAAATTATAATATTATTTTACATGACTCAAGAGGAAAGTACAAATTGACCTAAATTTAGTGACTCCTTATAAATACACCCTTGATTATAAAATATGAGCAATAAATTTGATATAAAACAAGAAGATAAATATCATGACATTTAGCAAATTTTAAATAAATGTATGTATATTTTATTCAATATTAAGTAAAATTCCAGATCATTAAGTGTTACGTGAATAATGTACGTAATTTTTTCTAATTCTAAATTTATATTTAATTTAGATTATTTTTGGACGGAAGTGTAATACAGTGAAGGCTATCATAATAAAATAAATTATCAAAATTTAAATTACAGTATGAAGTTTTAGAATGTCAAACTAAACTTTAGACTAAACAAATAAAGTTTGAGACTGTCAAGTCAACTTCAAATTTATATATTAATATATATAAAGTAGGCTTATTTAAGTAATATATGTTAATTTTAAAATAACTAAACTTATAAAAAATTATATATCACTTAAATAGCAATTTGCGGTCCACAATTGACTCAAGGCCCAAACATAGTCTAAGATAAGAGAATATATCCTTGAAGAAACTCTTTTCAATTTTTGTCCAAACAAAAAGAAATTTAAAAGATGATGATAATAATAATAATAATAATAGCATAATTAGTATAATTTCATGAACGATGTTTGAAAAAAATAAAATTTATGAAAATTTTATCACTATTTCGTAAAGATAGAGAAATTATTTTCGAAAAATATCGACACAAGTACAACTATATCAGATATAAACAAAAAATATAGCAATTACAAGAAAATAATGTAAAATCCACCACAAGAGACTAAGAAGCGACAAAAATAATATATTAATATAGTAATTGAAATATAACAAACAACCTATTAAGATAGATTATTGAAAAAAAAGTTTTTACAAAAGCTATTTTTGAAAAACTGAAAATAAACATGTCCATAAGGTTTATAATGAATTTACACGTTGAAAACCTTTTATTTTTTTTCAAAAAAAAAAAGATTTGAAAAGGTTTTTCAAATGAACTTTTCAACACTTCTCTTTCTAAAAAAAAAATGCATATAAAACTATAATAACTATCCATTTTGATGTTTAAGTACTTTATCTTTTTATATTTTGGTAGGAAATATTAGTAAAAATAATATTTATTATAGTTCATGTATTGCGTTACACTTTAAGAAAGACTAAATAATGCATTTGAGTAAATATTGACTTATTAAATTCTTTTTAAAATTAAAAAAACATTGTAAATTAGCTCTATAATAGTAAAAAATTACGCTCCAGTAAACTTCTCAATCACTTGACTATTTATTTTATTATTTAAAAATATCATTTATTTTTCAAATTTATTGGTTAAAAGATTCGTATCAAACTCTTTCTCGTTATATTTTTTTCTATGTTTCTTCAAGTAGATGATATATTATTATTTAAATAAATGTCATTTGTCTTGTTTATTAAATTCTTAAAGGTTTAGATTATATAAACTTTAATAAGTATATTGACCATGACCACAATTAGATGGATAAGTTTTGATTTGAAATGCACAATCTAACTTGGTGACCAAAATATAATTTCCCAATATTATTCCCCAAAAATCATAGAGTTTTTTCCAAATTTATCCACTTATTTGTGATTGTTAAATTAATATAATTTATTTTTTAATCTTTTAAAAAGTATATAGGACTAATGGAGTAATAATCCAAATATGTACTTAGAAAAAATAAGGAGAGTTCGTAGGTTGAAACTTGAATTTATCAATAATCTTTTAAATTCATCATTAAATTTTATTTGCATTTTTGAACTATAACAATATAGAATAAAATATTTATATATGAGACTTTGATAATTTATTTTTTAAAAAAATATAAACAAATAACGTGAGCTATGAAATACTTATTAAGTAAAAAATTGTCTTCCTTATTTTCACTTTTGGTATTACATTTCTGTAGATACGATGTTATTTTTTATATTGCATCCGCATCGACACGATGTGAATGTAGATCTACTATTCGTACTCGATGGTTAACCAACTTTGTATTTTGAGACAAAATTGACGGAGAAATTCAAAATTTTAGAAAATTCAAACAAAAGCTTTAATATGAAGAAAATGAAATTACCTTATATATAGAAATTTTATGTCACTCTATTTTCTTTTATTCCTTTCGAGTTTCTCCTCTTGATCGATATTTTTCTCTTTAAAATTTTTCACATAGTATCTCATAATTTAAATTTTCTTAACTGAATTCTCGTACTCCTATCCATACCTAGACTTGTATACATACCTTGCTCTATATCCCTGAATTTACAATTTTAAATCACAATTGATCCAACCTCTAGATCTACACATGCATCAGGAACCCAAACCCGCATCCACACTACTTGAGGAAAAAAATTACTCTCATACTTACCCCATTCCTATAAAGCATTTCCATATCACTAATCATCAAACCTTCTCAATTAAAAGGGAAGGTATCCTGCGAAGGGATTAGGATGAACACTCTACCGCATAGTAAAATGAATTTAAGACTATTAAAATAAAAATTACGTACAACAATAATTCTATATTTGATGTAACATCTTTTTAAAGATATACTCCAATCTCATGAGACTGACCTTTAGAGTCGTTTGGTTGGAAACTAGTTGTTCCAATATTAACTATCATGAAACTTATTTCACCCTGTATGAGATAACTTATCTCGTCACTATAATATAAATGGTGGGATGTTATCCCAAACATGTCAACCAAACAAGACGACAAACTTTTACCCAAACTATTATTTTTTAATCTCAAAACTATATATTTTTAATCTCACACCAAACAACCCCTTAAGATATTAGCTTTTACAATTTGGTTAGTGTGACTTAAAACTGACACCTCCAGAGAAATAGTAGCAGCAGATTCAAAAATTAACTCACAGAAAAACAAACAGAATGTGTGACAACTTGAACATGTTACATAAGTCTCTTTTGGTATAACCATCTTGTATCTCATACACACGCTAGCCTGACTAATTCGAATTCGCGCAATGAAAATAACATTCTATAATAATCTATTCATTCCTCAAACTCGAAACTTCACTAGCTAAAATAACACAAGAAATGCAAGAGGACTGCATTCCGAAAACAAACAACCTACTTACGAGGGACAATATGTACTTACGGCCTCTGCGATAAGCAAGTGAATAGTTGCAAATCAGATGAGCAAAGGCACATACAGATACAAACATAGCTGCAACATATACTAGCAATTCAACAGAGTAAATAATTCACTTGAAAACACTCAATTGAATCTCAAAAGTGTGCAAAACTGCACACAAACTATATATTAAAAACTTGTTCCAATGAACATAAACAGAGAAAGATTAATAAATCTTTCATTAAAACAGAATTAACATCCTCCTCACAGAAGTAAACTAATTAAACTTTCTCCCTATTTTACACCCCCATTTCAGTTTACCTGAACAAAATCAATGGTATCACATCAGATTTCCAACTACACTACTCGATAATCAGTCCACAAATGTATCGTCTTCTTCATCAGAAAATCGCGCTATCACCTTCCCATCTGCAGAGATTATAACCAAATCATGATTATTCACCATTAAATTAGCTTACAAAGTTCAGTGATGAATGTTTTGTGTTTACCTTAGCAACAATCTATTGATCATCAGGCACTTTGTACATATCAGCTGTTATTTCTGTCAACCATAAACCTGGAAATATCATCTGCAAAAGGGATCAATGGAACAGTAAAATGATCAAAATCTAAAATTAGCAAGGAAAATTTGATCTTTAATTGATTCTGATTAGCAATAATCAAGAGATTAGAAGAGAAAAAAATGGCTTACATCTAAATTCTTTTGAACCAATCTGGGTCGTTTCTTGGGACGACGAGGGGGTCGATGTCCGGCCATGGCCATGAAATCTTCATCGATTTCTCGTCGGGAAAGAGGAACGGAAAACTTGACCTTTTGTTTCTTCTCGCCGACTGAAGCAGCTCCGGCAGATGGAGCATTTGTTCTGTTAGTATCAATCTTTAACCCACCTTTCGATCCACCACCATTTCCACCGGCAACAGCACCGGCGCCGGCGACGAATCCATTAGGCTCCTTACAAGCAGCTCGGCGAGTCCTTAAGTTCCATGGACGAGATAAATCAGCAGCAGCGTCAGATGCAGCTCCAGTCATAGTTGTCGCCGGTGCCGGCGACGGCGACGGAAACTTCTTGGGTTGTTCATCCATACCTTCTTTGAAGATTGTTTCTTTCATCTTATCAGCTTCTGTTAAGAGATCAAACATCAGTTTCTCTCTAACAGCTCCGATTCCGTCACCATCATCCTCTTTTCCCGGCGACCTGAATTTCCGGGTAAAACGATCGTTTGATCCACGTCGGTTCACCATTTCAATCTCCATCTCCATCCTACGTCCGATCGACTCAGACCCAT